TAATACCATTCTCCTTTCTTATATACATTGCCCCCTTTGGTGATCTTACCCACTTTCCAGGCTTTAAATAACATCTATGATGGATAATACTCATGTTTATATCTCTTATGAGATTCACACTTAACAGATCCAACTGCTACTGATCATATCTAATAAACAACCCAATCTTAATAAGTCAAAATTAGAAGTACTGGTTTTCCACCAAGCAAATATTCTGTTGTGTCTTTTCATTTCAAATGATACCACCCCAGGTGCAAATAAACAAATAAAAAACCCTAAGATGTCTTCATGTTTAGGAAGAAATCTAATAAAATTGTAACTGTATAGAAAAACTTGTCTGATTTGTAATGTTATGGATTAATGAGAAAATCTTTGATGGTATATGCATCTTATAATGTATTATATATCCTTCAACAGATCATATTTAATTTTTCTCCTATGAGAGAAGTCTGTATGATAATGAATTCACTGCTTGTTAGCAATACTGATAATTCTATATAATTTTTTACTTTACTTTTTAGAGTGAAATGCCCTCTGATATAAGATATCTTCCAGAGAGGCAGTATGAACAGAGGTTAGGAGAGTGGACAGAGAAGACAGGATGCCAGGGTTGCAATCTGGGCTTTGAAACTTCTTAGCTGTGTGACTTTGGACACTTACTCTTTCTGTGTCCCAGTTTCCACAATTGTAAAATGTGGATAATAGTAGCAACTACTTCATAAAACTGTTGAGAAGATTAAGGATTTAACACACGAAAAGGGCCTAGAAAAATGTTCTTGGTGCATACTATTTAATAAATTTTAGCTATGATTCAATATTTTTAATTCCATTTCATAAATTCACTTATCCTAGAAAAAGGAAGAAATGCCTAACAGTATTTGTTCAGGGGCTCAATATTAAATTACTGCTTATCAAAGAACTTAATTACATCTTTTTCCCTATAGTTTCTTTTACTCTGGGCTATTGCCCTATGCATCAGTGGAAATGCTATAAATTCAATAAGAAAATGAACTCGGAGACCCAAATGAGTAACCCACCTGTTTGGTAGCATCATTGGTAAATGTGGGGAAAGAGAAGAGTCTCCTTGTAAAAAAAGATGCTCTGAGAGTAGGATAGAAAGACAAATCAGGATAAGGAGACACCTTCCATAAGGTTTATACAATTGCTAGAGTGGAGTCAAAAATTCTTTTGTATAGTTTCTAGCATCCAAAGAAAACAGAAAATCTGACTAGTTAGAGTTTTAATAGCAACCATCAAGAAAAAAATTCTGGTAACGCAAGAGAACAACCACAGGTGTTATGAACAGGTAGGCACTACTGTATGCATTTCCACTTTACAAGTAAGGAAACTGAGGTAAAGAGGTTAACAAATTTACTCCAGGCCACACCTACTGACAATGGGATTCACAATTGGGCAGATCAGAACCCATGCTTTTGACCACTTCCTTATAACTGATTCTGGTGTATGAAGCACCCTTTCTTCTTCTTTTGTTTCATCTTGTTCTTTTTTGATAGTGCTGCATTTTTGTATGGTCGGAAGACATTGGGAAAGGTTTCTGTGCTGCTCTACTTAGGCTCATGACTTAAGGCCATAATGACCTTGTTCTTGATCAAGGGAGAAACACCTAAAGGACTGAACATCCTTTAAACACTCTGCTGGTCACCATCTCAGCTCTCTCAGATTTCATCATAGGAGAAGATCACGTACAACTGTACCAAGAAGAGATACCATGTTTACCTGGGCATCACTTTCTCTGCATGCTCCCTGCCCATTCCTGCCCCTTCTCTTCCCCTACAGACAGTCACCCAAACCCATGAAACCTCCTTTCACCCAGATTAATGTGATAACCTTCTAACTGGGCTCTCAGAATAAACACACAGGGGTTAACATTCCAAAGAATTTATTAGTCATTGCTTTAAAAAAATCTATGGAGAGGCATTTTAAGAGATTTTAAAAAACAGTTGCATTCCAAAAAAGCAATATCCAGATATTTCCCAACTCAGGCAATTTTAATTATGTGAAAATCATTAACTGATATAATATTGCAATCATGATTAAATTTAAGATACCAGTCTAATCCACATTGGTATCCTAAATAACTAATTCCAAAATGGCTTGCAAATCTATTTTTTTAATCTGGCCTCCCACATAAGCAAAAAAAAAAAAATCTATTTCTAAAATAACCATTGTACCATAAAGAAATAATTAATATTTACAAGTATAAAACAGTATCCAGTACTTGTTATTTAAAAAAGAAGAAACAAAATAATGGCAAAGATTATTTCTACATGGTTGCTCCTTTTACTGGTAGGGAGACTCATCACTATAATTCTAACAAATATTTTAGTGCATACTTGGTCTGATCTGCAAGCTACTTTACTTAATCTAAAATTACAACTGAAATAGGTATCAACTTTTACCCCTGGTTCTGTTTAAATAGCACTGTCTCTAGTATAATTTAGAAAAATAGACAAGAACCTCTCCACTTTTGTCATAGGAAGCCAGGACAAGATGATGAAACAACCAATCAATCAATCAATGAGTCAACCAACTATTAAAAGTACCTTATGTCAGAGGTGCATGTGAACTGAAAAACCTAGTTACTTTCTTGTGATTCAGTCTTACTTTTCTTGACGTTGGTTGTCATTCAGACAAAATACAGGAAACAGACCCTCTGAACAGCCCTTGTCACTAAAGAAGTAAAACATCATTTAGTACTGACACTTGTGGCAACCCAAACATCAGTCTGTATGGCTCTTATGCCGGCTATTCCTTCCGCTGGGCTATTTTACACCATTCAGGCAGGCCTTGCCCTGGCCACCTTTAATAAAATGCCATTCTCTGACCCCTGATTTATTTTTTTCATTGCATTTATTATTCCCTGACATATTCATTTGTTTGATGTTTGCCTCCTCCCCCCAGAATGTCAGCTCCACCAGAGCAAAGATTTTGTTTCACAAATGCTGTATGTCCTAAGTGCCTTGAGAGCTGCTTCACATAGAAGAGGAGCTCAATGAATACTTGAATGAATGAATGCAATAAAGCCTTTCCTAGCCTTATTTAAACTCTACGAAGAGAGCCTTTTGGAAATACAATAATAGTATTATTGTTGTTATTACTGGCTTTTTTGTACCACCTCTTTTCAGCAGGATAGGGAGATGATAGGATTTGTAACTTCTGTTCAACAGCTTGGAGATTGGTGCTCTTCTAGGAAGAGCCAGAGGAACAGCATGTTCCTATCTCTCTGGCTGGCACCTGGGACTGTCTGGGTAACAACATCACATGGTTCTGCCAATGCTGCTTTTATGTTCCTCTGTTTAAATCTTTCCCTGGTGACAAAATAAGCTACAAGTATAAATGAAATATAATTGGTTAAATAAGAAATGGCAACTACTTTGGTATTTCTTGTGGGGGGTTGACTTAGCTAAAAAAAACAGACAACATAGTAACCATGTTTCCAAACAAAGTATTAACACATTTCTGGTTAGCTCGTTTCATTCTTGTCACCCAGTTCTAGGACTTAGTGCCACAGTGGTAAGACATTTAAGAGATCATGCAGATGAACACACTTTATAAACAAGTTGCAGATAGGCAAGGTCCTTATAAACCAGGTCCAGATAGGCTTCACCACTTACCCAAGGTTATGTGCGGAATTCAATCAGCAGAGAAAGGACTATATGGCCTGACTCCCAACTCAGTACTCTTTTCCCTGTGCCTATTTCTACTTACAGTAAAAGTTGTTTATCAGTATGTATGAGTCATGAAGTCATGTACACATGCTGTAGAAAACTCTTAATGTAAAAAAAAAAAAAAAGCCATGGCTTAAAATACCTATATTGAATAAAAATATTATTTTGCATTAACGATCATTACTTATTGAGAATCAGAACACTAGCTGCAGCAGTATATGGAAATATACATGGTTCCTATACAGGACAAGTCAAAAGCAATAGAACATTAAATCAAGGGAAGGTAATAGGAGGTAAATGGAATTTGAAAGGGAAAGTTGAGGCAACCTGCAGGAGGATATGAAAGAAGTAGGGAAGTGACATAAGTTTATTATCAGAATGGAAACATATATGTATCAATGCAACATATGTAAATGTAATGCTCAATTCTGTCGTTGGTATAGACAGAAAAATGATTCATCCTGATGCTGATAAAGCTTAAAAGCTTCATGGACCTCACTTGGACGTGCACTTCCAAGGCCCTGGGAGGACCTCTGGCAATACTTTCTCATGACCATGGTTTAAAACACTTGCAACTGGTTAAGATCTCGTCTCCATTTTTGCTGCACCCTCATCAAGTTCCCCCCAGCTCAAGTGGTGCTGGGGTGGCCATGGCTGCTGCTTGGATTCAGCTAAGGAGAAGCTGAGTTGGAAATACAGTCATTGTGGGTTACTGTGATATGGTTATGCAGTTCACTTCTATTTCATAGTTTAGTCATTCTCAACATGAAAAGAACTTCCGGGATCTCCTACCACCCACTGTGCTGACTCACTCAGCATCATGACTCAAGGACAATGATGGCACTGTTCAATGAGTGACGTCAATTCAAAGAGTAGTTAAGATTAGTCACTGCACAAAGAAAGTTAAGATGCCCTGAAATATAAATTAGACGTTTTTCCAATTTTATAATGATCCTAAAAATCTAAATGACATTATCAATAAGGAATTGTGAAGGTAAAATATGAAACATAAAAAACAAACTCTGGTCCACCAAGCTAGAGGCAGAATTATCTTTCTATTCTCTCTAGAAAATATTACAACATTGTTGTCATATGAAGAGGCATTTAAGAGTATACAGCCAAAAAAATGTAAGGAAAAAGTATTTTAGGGCATTTTAGGAAGTTAAAAATGTTGTATTTGTTGATTCTTGTGATGCTTGTGGTGTGGCAGCTTCTAAATATTTGTAATTTGTTGTGGTTTCTTTTCTCATTCTAAATAAATATTCACTTTTGTACCTAATTTTGAATGTATAACTTAATTTTTTTCCTCAGATCTCAACCCTTGTGCAAATTGTATAAGCTTCAAAGGGGAACCCACAAAATCTGGACCCTGCACAGAGCATGTACTGCATATGTGCTCCTGGCATTTCACTAATGTCTTAAATCATATGTCCCAGAGCGCAGGAATCCAGGCTACAAAGTTCCACTGTGCTTTTAGCATGGCACAACCAAGCAATGAATGTATTTTAATCACAGGCCAACAATAAAGATAGAGAATTTATGATTTTTGAAATTCTTTTCTTCTCTATTACTTAAGGCAGGATTAGCTCAATTAAAATAATCACATAAGAAAATGAATCGCATTGCAACTGGATTAGGATTGATGAAATGACTTTCGGGTAACTCTTTACACAAGAAACATGCCATTCATCTTTGGCTGTGTTGGAAATGAACCTGAATGAAGTTGATTTGACTCTCATGAACCTTGTGGGATCAAAAAAAAGCTGAAGAGGACCTGTAACTTCCAGGACTTGCTTACTGGAGTGCTTCTGTGCCATACAGAAGCTCCCATACCGGCTGGGAGAATCCTAAAGAGCTGTTAGCGTTTATAATCTCAAGAATATACAAGCACATGCACAAATAGCAATTATGGGCCAATCAAGTGAAATCCATATTAAGTACATCAAAAATCTGTTTACTGTGTAATAGACTGTTTACCGTAACATACATGTACAGAGGAGATTGCAAATACACTCTTGATCTAAGAAGTTTCCACGATTCACAAATAAACTTCATCCTTTCTTCCCAGCCCTCTTGGGTAGTTGGCATAAAAACAAACAACTTAAAGAATAGCCTGATTTAACATCAAGGCCACTTAAAAATAGAAATACTAGTAACTTCTATTGAATTAAAGAGTTGCTTCCTTCCTTTGAATAATAGCCATATAAATCCATAATCCTTTGAGGTGAGATCAATTCCAGAATTCAAATAACTTAATTAATTTATAGATTTCAAAAAGGTAATATGTGTATATACCATATATTATGCATCATCCCTAGCAAAGTCTTGGCAGAACTCTATGATCAAACATATTAATATTTCTGCAGTGAAAGGCATGAAGATTCACATAAATAATAGAAATAAAGATTATAAATAGCTTTATATCATTTCAAGTCAGGTCTTACTGCCAAATGAATTCAGGTCATGTCAGGCTTTGCCACCACATAAAGTTTTTTAAACGCTGGTTTGTGGTTTTTTTGTAAAATGAAATTATAGATTAGGGATTGTGAGCCTGTATCTCTAAGAGTTCCTGTTATTTCTCTTTAGTTTTATACAAGAAAAAAAATCAATCAGTGTTTAGTCCTTTGAGGCCTGGGTAGTTATTCTATTTGGTTATGCCATTCTCCACCCATCCCAGGACTTTTCAAAGTAAATCAGAGTAGAACAAAATAGAAGGACTACTGTCCTCTTGGAGATTGGTAGTGGTTGCTGGGAGCAGCCTCTTTCCCTACAGCTCTGCTTTAAAAACGAGCTGCCTTTTCAAATGCAGCACAGGGCCACAGGAGGAGGAGAGAATTGATCTCACAGAATTTATAGATGGGGAAATCACTGCCAGAAATCATGCCTCTAGATAGCACAGTGGGGCCCATAAATACTCAAGGCTGGAGGACTGTCTGGACAGAAACCTGTTCAGGATTCTTGCAGCACGAGTGCTGCCGCTGCCATTACTCAAAACTCAGACCTCAGAGACAAGCGGGGCTCCAGGAGCTGCATGTAAACAACAGCATTTGATATAGAAAGATCATAAAGTTATGGAATGAATGCAATCTAGCTACTAAGAACACTCCGCTACAAACTGGAACAAATCTTCCCAGGATCAACGTATCTCCTTCCACCTTTTCCAGATAGATGAATGGAGGACACAACCATTAACTCAAGGTTGTAGTGAGTGGAAAGAGAGAAAGAGATGAATGGGGAACTCTTAGGGAGCTTTTAAAAGGCTAGACACTGTCACTCCCAAGGGATATTACATGTTACTCCACGCTAGGGCCTTTGAGAAAGACACTTGCCTCACCATTGTTTCTTAAAGCTGAATAGTATTCCGTGGCATACATATACCACATTTTATTAATCTACTCACGTATTGATGGGCATTTGGGTTGCTTCCACAACTTTGCAATTATGAATTGTGCTGCTATAACCATTCGAGTGCAGGTGTCTTTTTCGTAAAGTGACTTTTGTATTTTTCTGGATAGAGCTGGAACCCCTTCTACTAAGTGAAGTATCTCAAGAATGGAAAAACAAGCACCACATGTACTCACCAGCAAATTGGCATTAACGGATCAACACCTCAGTGGACATATAGGAGTAACATTTATTGAGTGTCAGGCAGGTGGGAGGGGGTAGAAGGGGATGGGAATATACAAACATAATGAGAGAGATGTGCAACGTTTGGGGAATGGTCACACTTGAAGCTCTGACTCGAGGGGGGAGGGGAGCATGGGCAATATACGTAACCTTAACATTTGTACCCCCATAATATGCTGAAATAAAAAAAGACACTTGCCTCATTCTACACTGAAATGTGATGACCAACATGGAGGTACTGATATAATAAACAGTTCTGGCAATTACCTTTCCTTTTTTTAAAGCTAAAAGTGATTTTTGAAGCCAACACTATTCACTGGGAAAAAAATATTCTTACTCTACACAAAAGCATCAAGAAACATAGTAAAAACTTATTTGCTACTTTGCAATTCTTCTTCAAAATAATTTTGCCCCAAACAAGACTGTTTCTTATCCAGATTATCAAGTTTGATAGTTCTACAAACTTCTGTTCAAATATTTCATTGGAGGCAGCTGTTCATGTTTATTCTTCCAATAACAATGAAGTAAAACAATGATTATATCATACTTAGCTTTTTATTTCCTTTTTTACTGTCAGGAAAATCCTAAAAGCATTAGCTCTCTTGGCCCATGGCTTCAAAATAATTTGCTGCATGTACAGCAACATCTTGATAACATGGCAAGTCTAAAATTACTAACTCATGAACACTACCTAAAGTATGACTACTAGTTTTAAGTGTATAATGCTGTCATGTCCAGGATAGCTGGTTTAATATGTTTCTTAGTTTTCATGCAGTTTTATTCTTCCTCTAGGATGAAAACCTACACTTTATATATTTTATGTATCTGGGCATTTTGCTTTATAAAGTGACATATCTATATCAATTTGTCCCATTAATTTATAAAATTTTTTAAAAATCTAATTAACCTTGTTCTTTGGTAGTGAGCAAGCTTCTTGCCTGATATTGTTCAAAGCAAATTGTTTTTATTACTCTTATTCCCTTACTAAACATCCATTATCCGCCAAGTACTTTGACATGGAGATTCAAGGCAAGGGGAAGAAAATCTACCTTGGAAGAGAAGTATTTGGTCTTCTGTGTGCTACTTTAGCAATTTTCAGATCACGAGTAAAATAAATGCATGAGGAATAGCTACATAGAGAATGCTGTTGAGCCAACGGTCTCCCTCAGCCCTGGTAGGATACTCCTAGCTGTCATCCTCATGTCTGCCAGGGTGTACACATCCTATCACGCAGGGCAGCTTCTGGCTCCCATGAAACACTGGCTTGATTTGCCTGTCCTGTTTCTGCACGGAGAGACAGTGGCTCATGCCTTGTTGAAGTCCAGGAGCCTTAGCCACAGGGGCAGCAGTTTGATTCATGAGTAAAAAGCAGGACAAGAAAAAATGGTTACTGTATCAGATAATGCTTTGTGGCAGCCCAGGCGGGAAGTGTCTTGGGGCTTCTCAGTCCCGAATGACAGGGATGGGAATTGTGACAGAATGGAGCCCACAGATATTACTTTAATTAAGAACAGTTCCATTCTGCACACGAGAAAAATCCTCGAATTACTCTTGGATCTGTCAAGAGCAAATGAATTCACTTTCGGTAAAATACGATGACCGAAGTTGAGATAGATCAATAGAAACTATCAATGTAAAGAGATGAATAGGTCCAAAATCTTTGGTCAGCCTGATTTGTCAATTAAACAATTGTTTGAATATGGAAATCTAGAGTTTATATCTATACTTCTGTTTTGCCCAACAAAAAGTATCCCTGGGGAAATTTAGTATATTTTTAACTGATGAAACATATTTCAAGGACAGTGTTGTAAGAAGGAAAACTATATGGAACCAAAAATTTCCATCTTAAGCATCTACTAAAAACTGATATTAATGATTAAAAGAGATCAAATACATTAGAAAAATCAATAAAAATTCTCAAGAATATTCTATACTTGCACTAAAAACATACTTCCTTTAAACCAGATAGACTTTTTCGATAAAATATAGAAGAACCAAATTTTAAAAGCAACTGTTCTCCACCTATGTTTGTATTTGTTTATTTCAAAAATGAGGCTGCTAGTAATTATTTCTGTTTTGACTGACTTTATTTGTGAATAGGCTATTGGACTTGCTAACCTTTCTGGATAAATGTGACATTACATGATTTATTGTACTTAATATTTTGTTCCTTAGTCACTTCCCTGGCTGAAATTCCCAAACCTCATTAGGGGACTTATTCCAGTTCATGGCAGATGGAGAGTGACCACAGGATATAAAATGAACAGCTGTCCTCCTCCCCGTCTGTGCCTTCTCCCTTCTAGTTCCATCCCCATTCCCTCACTTCCAAAATATTCGTATTTCTTCATTGTCACTGCCACTCCTTTCATAAGGGAGAGAGGGATTGATTCTCTCCCAATTTAGGACTGCCATGCCAACTTCCAACCACGTCCAGGTGCCCAGCCTTTGCAAGTTTTCTCCCAAACCCACATTAGAGAACTTTCAGCCGAGCCTATGTTGGGGGAAACACAAGGAAGAGAAATGCAAGATGTGTCAGGCTTTGCCAGGTTCCCTGCCAGCCAGGCCTCCTTTCCCCAGGGCCCACATAACCCACGCCTGAGTGCTCGCGCCTGGCCCATTTTCTAGGAGGACTAATCCCCACCTTGGGCAGCAAGTGTTAAGTACCTCCCCTCCTCCCCCCACAGCAATCTGGAGATTCAGCATCACTATCCTTGTTGCTGTCTGGCTCTGACCTTGGTCTCCAGTCCTTAGTAAGGCCCCTGTCTTGTTCTCCCTGCAGGGGACCGTCCCCTAAACTTCACTGTGACACTGACCCTCTGGACCCTCTGAGGTGGTACCAGCCTTACTCTAAGTCTCCCTTCCAAATGATAAAGTCCTGCCTCTGGACCTCCCCCTTTCCTGGATTCTCCAACAAGTTGCACTCTCACTCTCCTCTGTGGTCTGCACCCCAGAATTAGCAACCCAAATGTACTGTCTTATTCATTTTCTTCCTACACATAGACTTCTCCCACCCTCCCTTCTATTTGATAATAAAATTCTTAAAGGCTGGGGCAGTGTCTTAGTCTCTGCTTTCCCCACAGTGGATGTAGGCACAGCGTGATATATGTAATACACGTCCTAAAGATCTTCTCCCTGACAGAAGAGTCCTTGATTAATTGATAAGAAAGTAGAAACTACAGGCTCAGATTAAATTTTAATATTGTCTATGGATTTCATTCAGCATACTCTCTTGCCTCAGACCTCAAGAATAGTATATAGTATTGAACACCAACATGGAACAGCACTAAATCCTAATCTAGCCTAGGAATCAATTTAGTTAATTGTCTTCTTTATAAAAGTTTCTGTTCATTTCTGTTGTCCAATTCTTGATGGGGTTGTTTGATTTTTTTTTTTTTTTTTTTTTTTTTTTTTAGTTCTAGTTGTGAGCAAAATTCTGTCCTAAGTACAGAAGGGGATCCCTGTACATTCTTTAGCCCTCAAAGAATGTCTAAGCTATAAAAGGTGAAAGTGAAATGGCCAGTGTATAAATCACAGCAGAGTGAAGTTGGTATCATAAAACAAATCCAGAGGAAGTGGGGGTTCAGAGATATCAGGCTGGGGCAATGGGATGAGTTTTCACAGAGGAAGGGTGTTTGAAAGAGACTATTTGGTCTATAACAATGATCAATTTCTTCTTATCCTGTAGTTTATTGCTGTATCCCTTCTAGAGCAGCCCCAATAAATATTAACAGAACATTTTTATGAATGAATTATTGACATTTATTTTTTAGGCCTCATCAGGCGAGTGACAAATTGAATATTGCAAAAAAGTAAGGGTGTAGTATCTATTTTCAAACTGTGTATTTTAATTTACATAAAGTAATAGTTTATTTAGTTGTCAGTTTCAATAATTCAAAAACACTTACAGTTAATCTCAATAATCTTTGCCAAAAGCTTATGCTTAGAATTTTACAGCATTTTAGAGTTTTCTCTTTCATTACTTAAAATAGGACATAAGAGTTTGGAGTAAGGTGGATTTGAAATATATATAATGTTCATTGTTCATTGAAACTAGCTTCTTTAAATATACATTCCCTGAAAAGGAATAAGTCAACGGGGGACAATAAAGCAGGATACCCTGAATCATAATTAGTTTATACTTTTTAAAGTATTTAAAGTTTTTAAAGTATTTAAAGTATTTAAAGTAGTATATAGTTTATACTATTTAAAGTTAAATTTAGACAATATACAAGTGTTCCATATATATTTCATTTTTTTGTGTGTGTTAATATAGATCTTTGAAGATCTGAAAACAAAATCTTAAACAAACCTTAGTTTAATATATTTTATATCTTGGTATATATACCAAGAATCTTACATTCAAATAAAACATGTATTTAACCTTATAAAGTATATGTATTTAAGTTAATTTTGCTACTAACATTTTCTAAATGTCTGTTTTTGATTCATTTTTGTTTTGAGCTCAGGTCACTATAGATTTTGTTAGTCTCATACATACAGATTTCCATGATTTAGAAGAAGTTTTCACCATTTTATAAATTATAAATTCTCCAATTATAAATTCTCCAAAGTCTTAAGCACTTATCAAATATAAGTACTCTTGAAAAAAAAATGAGAATCTAATTTGAAATATATTTCAGGAAGTTCATGGAAGAAATGAGCAATAATTCACACCAAGGTATGAAGAGCTCAATTTCTCCTCCTCCTGAATTACCTATTCTAAAAGAGCTGAGAGAGAGAGAGTTTCTCTATTAAATCAAATTCTGTGTAA